CTGAGTACTTCAACACAGGACAGGTGTACCATCATGTTCCTCAAGGGGGATTATTGATGAACCCTCCCTCCATGGGGCTGCATTTGCAGATCCTGTCAGGAGGATACATCCATGGCTGAGCCCGGCATGGCACTCATGCCCGCTTACCATGGCTGGATATATCTCTGCTTCACTTTCCTGCAAGTGAACCAGGAGACTTTTGGGTGTGGCAAGTCTCACCCCCACACACACACATTCAGTCTGCTGTTCCAGCCCTCCTGTTGAAATGGAGCATAGCGCCCAGTTAGACCTTTCAAGTTCCACTGGCAATGCCATCCCACTTAGATGCATGCCATGCTGGGAACCCTCAGACCTCTTCCCTGTGGCCCCAGAGAGGAAGCAAATGGAATCTTTACATCTTGCCATAGTTTTCAGTTCAATAAAGTCTGTGTTGTGCCACAACTGTGTCTCTGTTTGGTTTTGATTACATGGCAGGAGCTCCACACCGCTCCCTGCCCCACTCCCTTCCTGGCCCATCTGTGACTCCCCCTGATGGCTTCCCATGGACATGTCTAAGAGGGAGGTCTCTCAGGTGCCTTGTGGCTGTGGATGGTTGTGCAAGTTCCACTGGTCATAGTCATCTGCCAAACATAATGGGGGCCCAGTGGCACCTCCAAAGCTGACCTAACAATAGGTTCCCTCCCTCACCTCACAGGTTGCTGTGTGAAGAGCCCAGAGGGTGGTCTGGGTGAGTGTGCCAGGTGGTTAGAGCATGAGACTAGATCCGGGAGAGCTAGATTCCATTCTCCACTTGTACCATGGAAGCTGGGTGGATGGCCTTGGGCCAGATTCACACTCTCAGCCTAACCAACCTCACAGGGTTGTTGTGAGCATAAAATGGTGGAGAGGGGAATGATGGAAGCCACTTGGGTGAGAAAGGCTGGAAATAAATAGAGTAAATTAATGAAGTTCATAACTGTGTGTCTGCTCTATGAGGGGGGCTTCTGTCACCCAGGGTAAAGACATCTGTGACGGTAACATTGAGGGGTCAGGGGATCATGGGGTCCCCAGAGTCAATGGCTGGGGAGGAGCCAATACAGCAGGTGGACTCGATGTTTTTGAGGGGGTAGAAAGGAAGCAAATGGAATTTTTACATCTTGCCATAGTTTTAAGTTCAATAAAGTCTGTGTTGCATGGTTTTCATAGCAATACATTACTACTACATTACTACATATGGAAGTAATGATGAATGCAGAATGCATTTGGAATGACAGTCTCTGGGCACTGATTGCTCTGGAACTGGAATGACGCCTCCACTGTGGCGCAGTTGCTATAGATGCTATCCCTGTAATGATCAGAAAATCCTGTGAACCCACTGAGTTGTTGTCTGCTGGCCGCTGCATAACTTATGCCCATAGGGAATAGATTAGTGCCACTGTAGTTACACAGCGGCTGGCTGCTGTGGCACAGGCATGGCATGGGATTGCTCTGCCCATCGTGAACAATATCCTCCAATCAATTCAAAACTTCAGCAAACATACACAGGATTCTTAAACAAAATTCTTAACAATATCCTCCAATCAATTCAAAACTTCAGTAAACATACACAGAGCACTACATGGATTCTTAAACAAAACAGTACCATTCCACAGTTTTCAAACGTTGGTTTGATAATATGCATGTACATTCCATTACAAACATTCAGTGAAGTCAGTATTTCTTTTAATGTTCAAGGATGCCACTCACAATTCGTGATCTGAATGGTAGTAAATTCACTAATCACTAAATTTTACAGTTCTGTGTAAGTTCAGAAGATACATAATGTAACATATTTTATATCTTTGATCTATAACTGGCAGGTGTAGTTTTAAAAAAACCTCAGAATTTATCTTCCCTATTTTGGAATCAACTTAAAAAGCTAATAAAATATTACTAACCAAACTGTCCCTGGGTGACAAGATTATAGCCTGCAAAGCGTGATGCATATCTAAAACACTGAATGTTCATTGCAAATGCTCCTTTGATCTGTAAAGTGTTCTTCAGTAATGATTTCACTGAAGTCACCTGGCAAAATCTAAACTAGTCTTCTTAGTTCCCTACCCATTGAGTCAACATACTGAATAAAGAACTTCAAAGTAAATTTTTATGATTTACTATAGTTTCCTGCTCACTGACATCAGGAACTAGTTCAAGATATTCATCACCAATCCCTCATTTATTCATTAGTTGTTTAAATTTTCATTATGTACAAAATCTTAATTTTTCAACATTGTTTAGAATCTTGGTGTGGCTGCCTCTATCCACCACTATAACTTTTAAAAATTTAGTCTGCAGAAGGGCACCAATGTGATTAATTATTTATTGGTATGGTTATTCTAAATGGAGTATCTAAAATGTGGTCCATATAAGCATCTCACCATGTTTTTAATGTACAAAAATAATTTTTCAGACACATGTGGCCAACCATATTTAAGTGATTCTCAAATTACACTGGTGCATATAAGGTTTTGGACATTCGTAAATCTGTCTGAGACAGAACTCATGTGTGATTGTCACATGACAGCTAATGTGGTGTAGTGGCTACTAGCTGTTTGAACTTTGAACAGGAAGAACTTGTTTAAAATCCCCACTCAGCTATGAAACTCATGACTACTTTGTGCCACTGTTTTTCAGCCTAATCTACCTTACATGTGGGAATCAATTCAGAAGGGTGGAAAGAAAAACATGTAATAAACACTGATTAAACTTTGGTATTGACTGAAAGAGATATAAACCAAATTTTCAGCTATGTTATTAACTAGGCAACTTCTCTGCAGTTAAATATAAATAGTGTATAACTTTCTATTTGCAGTAGAGATCACTGGATCCCCAAATGGGACTCAGCCTGATTAAGGTGTGTCACACCAGAAGTATCACAGCATTCACTTAGAAAATGAGGTAGAAATTTTGGAGTAAAAATAGAACATGAGCGAGAGTGTATCTGTACGAGAAATCTTAATTAGTCCTACACTAGTTTACGAATTCTGGCTCCGCCATCCCACCCCAAAATCCTGAGAATTATAGTTTTGGATGTGTTTCTGAAATACACAGACTATAGTTCCTAGAGTTCTCTAGAGGAGAAGAAATGGCTGTTAAATCAGTTTATGTGTCAGGTGTGTATGTGTGTGTTTGTGCATGTGTGTACCTTGTATAGCCCTTGAAATAGAGAGGCAGAAGGAGAAAGAGTGATAGAGATACTCAGGCTGCTTCTGCAAAGAGGTTTTTGTCTCCAACTTGGGTTCCAAATGGAAGTGCTTTTCTTAAGTATCCACATCATATCAGTGTTCCCTCTAAGGTGAGTTAGTGTGAGCCAGCTCACAGTTTTTTAGCATCTGGCTCACACATTTTTGTCTTAGCTCAGGCAGGAGGGCTCCAGAGCAAACTGATTGATGCAGTAGCCAAATCACTCGCTCACAACTTTAATGCCAGTAGCTCACCAAGTAGAATTTTTGCTCACAGGACTCCACAGCTTAGAGGGAACATTGCAGATCATAGTCTATCCTTTTCCCAGGGGTTTCCCTTTCTCAGTACGCCCTTTCCCAAACCTGCTTTACTCTGATCTTTTCTGAAAGAATGCAGTCCAAATGTATTAGTACATTTTCCTGCTGCTAATGTCCCACCCACATTGATACGGTTTCCCCACTGTCAGCCCCATTTGTCTGTTTTAAATTTTGGTTATTTGAATCCCCAGTTTTCATTCTTTTAAAAAAATAAAGTCTCAACTCCTTTATGAAAATATCCAAAGAAAGGTTCAGGCAATTTTTGTCCCAATTGAATGGGGAGAGGAAGCTACAAGATGACTGGAGGGATAGTAATTGTATGTTGATATTGTGCTATAGGCTAGCACATGTGTGGGAAAGGGGTGGTGACTCACCACGGTGCCCATGATGACCGTTCCCCTGAGAGTCAACGTGGAGTAACTGTGAGGCACACGTGGAAGAAGAAGAAAAAATGTAAGAAGTTGAAAATGTTGCAGAAAACTCTTTGTATGGAAACTCTGTCATCAGATCATGAGAAGGGAGGGCAGGAAGGGTTGCATCAGTGCTTAGTTCTTGTGCCCTTTCTTACATGCCCAGGGAAATGCTGATCACCACTTTGGGGTCAGGAAGCAATTTTTCTCCAGGCCAATTTGGCTGGAGATCTTGAAGGGTTTTTTTGTCATCTTTGTATAGGCATGGAACAACAGTCACTGGGGGTGTGGGGGAGGTATTTGTGAATTTCCTGCATTGTGCGGGGGGTTGGACTAGATGACCCTGGAGGTACCTTCCAACTCTATTATTCTGTGATTCTAGATTCAGCTTGAAAGTAGATCCTGAAAAGGTTGAAGATTGCTGACACAGATAATTCCACAATTTAAACTGCATACTCTATTATTGCAAATACAGTGTGTAATTTTGCAGAAATCCAGAATCATTTTAGAATATTATTGTATTGCTGAAATATAAACTGTAAATATGAAAAGGTATGCAAGGAGAAAGTGTACAGAATATATCCCAGAGCAGTGGTTCAAAGTCTAAAGACTATTCTGGTGAAGAATGATGAAAAAATTAGGATATCATTAATTTCTAGGTTTCCATATAGTTTAGAATATTATTGTATTGCTGAAATATATACGTGGATTGCAAATTGACTAACATTCGATGACACAAATATATTCAGATGCTTATTTGAAATTCTATCTCAGGAAATTTGTTTCCTAATGATCAAACCATACAGAACATTTCCTCAGGCTTGCTGCAACTTTAGTCGTGCACCTCACATTTTAAAATCCCTTTAGTATTGTAAAGAAAAGAATTGAAATGCTGTAAACTCCAACAATGCTATTTTCCTTGAAGCTATCAGTAATAAGCACACTGAAGTGGCTCATTCAATGTCGGTTCCATTGGAATTCCAGATAGTGGCAGTCACTGAAACATGAGTTCAGTTACCAAATATAGTTGAGAGGGGTAGGAATTACACAGTCAGAGAGGACAGATGTAACTCAGAGGCCACAGTCACCTCAATGCTTACTGTGGACCAAGCAATCTTGAATGAATAGTTAGAGCAACTTCCAGCTTTCTTAGACAAAAGGGAGACAAGCTTCCAAGCTTGAATTTTAATCTGTATGAAATTCTTCACACTGATTTAAGAGCTGCAAGGTTTGTAAGATTCTCTCAGGTTCTTCGCTAAATATTGTTGATTAAATATTGTTGCTTAGTAAATACTGTTCTTGATTTTTACAGAAAAATGGCTACATGAATACAGCTTTTCTTATGAGAACCATAGTTTATTTTTAAAGCTTTTAAAGCTGTAGCTTTTATTGACATAACTAAATGCTTCCATTTTTTATTTCCAGTTTAATTGTACCATGAAAATAATTATTTTGAATAATGTTTAATGCTGTATTTCTTATTTATTTGCACCTTCATCTAATGAACTATTAGTATCTAATACCTCTAAAATTAATACATGTACTAAGGTGTTATGCATGTGTTTTATTTCTTGGTATACTGTCTAAACTCTAAGATGTGCTACTTTTTTGTAAAATTATTATATTTTAAACATGAGAATGATGTAATGAAAAGTATAAAATAACAGATACATTTATTTTTCAATATTTATTTCAAACTATACAGGATATTGTTTTACACTAATTATAACTTGTCAGGGAGATGAGAAAAGCACTTATAAATATGCTGCTCTCTAATCAGTGAACTAGAAATAGCTCATAAGCTATTTCTAACTGTGATCATGTATGCTATTTAATAGGGTCCAGCATTGTTTTAACTAAATTAGCTATGATTTAAAGAAGCAGGATCATGGCGAAGTAAACCTAGATGACGTTAGGTTTCCTGGATGACATTTGAAAGATACATTACATCCACGATGCAACAGAGCATTAAGTGTGCTTAACTCCATTGAAATAAATGTGACTTTGCCTGCTTAAATCTGCATTGGATTGTGGCTCCCAAAATAAAGGAGAACTTTCATTTGAATCTTGAGGTTGGAGGCATAAGGCTAGAGATTTTTGGGGGCTGCAGAAGAGCTGGTCAATTTTTGAGAGGAACCGTACAGTTATGGTTCTCATTATGGAACTTGGAAGTGTATTCATGACTGAAGAAACTTAGCTCCTTCTAGAAATCTAGTTAGGTTGCCAGGTGACCAAATATTTGCATCCATATCTATTTTTAGGCACCTCTGATCATATTAGCTGAATATTCTGGAGTTGAATTAAATCTTATTTGTTCTTTATGAAACTCAATGAACTATCTGAAAGGAAACAAAAATAAATGTTTCTACAGCTATGTTTTATTTCACAGTGCCATGGGTGAAGCAGCCAAAGAACCAAGTAGTAACTTGCACTGTTGATGCAATCCAGGTTTAGTTGGATTGAAGCAAAGCTTATTCTCCCTTTCTTGAATCCATTGTTTCACTGCAACGGTCTGTCCTTTGCATATAGCCCAACTGCATATGTGGAACATCTCTGTGTTGAAGAAAATAGGAAGAGATCTTAGTTTGCATGAAAGCAAAGCTTCCTGGATTTTTACAGAAATTTCAGGCATTTACCACATGGAGTTAATTAAAGATGATGTTTACAAAGTCAGTAATAAACATACAGTTTTTATAACAATTTTAAGATGAGAGAGAGAGAGATGTTACATTCAGATAAGACTAGCATAAACTGCAGATATCTAAATCTGAGGATCAGGGCTATGCTGACTGTAAACTGATAGTTCTGCAAATCCAGGGTGTATCCCAGGTTTTCTGCAAATATGGGGGGCCTCCCAGGCTTGCATAAGATCTGAATATATGGGAGGGGCTAAATCCCCCCAAAACAATGTTTTCTGTGCATGCTCAGACAATGGATTTATCTCCTGTGTCCTAGAGGAGTCCTGGGGGCCCTTCTGGGCCCAGCCACAATGGAGGTGAAGTCTGGGGAGCGATTCTGGGCCCAGCCAAGCCATGGCCATGGCAGAGTGTGGGGAGCCACTCCAGGCCCAGCTGTGGCAGTGGTGGGGTCCAGAGGGCCATTCTGGACATGGCCATGGCCATGATGGAGTCTGAGGAACCACTCTGAGCATGGCTGCAACAATGTCCAGGGAACCACCTCCAGGCCTGGAGCATCTCCCAGATACCACCATGGCTATGGCCAGATCCAGTGGCAACTGCAGAGGCCTGGAGCCACACCTGGTCTCAGTGTGCAAGTTGGGGGAGGATGGGATTCCCCTCCCTCCACAAGTTTTGTGGAACTCCACTTGTATGTGTGCACAAATGTGTGTGGGGGGGGAGGAGGTTTTAAAAGACTTGAAATAAAAATTTAACACATGAGGTAGCCAGAGCTAAGCATTTTTATGTCCTGCTGATTTCCGCTTCAGAGTTCAGGGTATCCTTCATGTCCTTGGGAATCAATGCAACTTAAAAAGTGGTAAATTTAAGTAAATTGCACCTTCATATGCACACAACAGACACAGTGTCCAAATTTAACTGATTTTCTGGCATTGGCAATGACAACTGAGCCCCTAGACAAAACTACCAATGCACTGGCCCCTGCACACATCAATGTGCATATTGATCAATGAGCTCCAGAATTCCTACAGGCTTCCCCATTTATTTAAACAGCAGGAGCAGTTGCATGTGGGTAAAGAGTCATGCCCCCCTCATAGAAGTGAGTGGGGAATGCTTTCCACACATGGAAACGCTATTAAACTTTCTACAAGGGCAAGGAGTCTCAACAGTGGACTGCAAATATTGTTTAATGACTCATATTATTTTTCTAAATTCATCAATTTTTGGTTAAATATTATTCCGTTTTAAAGTTTTAGTTCATAACTTGTCAAAGTTTGTCAAGCAGATTGAGAAGGAAGCAGAAAACCCAATATAAATAAGAAATATATTCAAATAAAACAAAGACTCAGATTCTAAAATTATAAGGTCCATAGTTCCCTTTCCCTGTCTAGTTGTGGTCCATTAATATGGCACACAGAAAAAGAGTAGTTATAAAGAGATGTATGTACTCGTTCAAGAATTCAAGCCCTCTACCAGTCAATTAACAGTTTCGTGCAAGGTAAATCCCAGAGAAGCATCTAAATGTAACAGGAGCTTGCACAAGCTAATGTAAAACACATCCGATTGCTTTTTATGACTGACAGGTCAAGCATCTGTCACTGGACAAAAGTAATATGGCATATGTCAAATGTTAGGTTTAAAACTGCAAAGGTTTAAAGAATTATGTTGAATTGACAATTCAGAAATATTATTTTAAACATGTTTGCTTAGCTTTTTATTTAAATAGTTGTTTTCATGAAGAAATGTTATTGTGCGTTCACTTTTATTTTGGTCTTCCAGACTGCCAAATTAAGTGCCTCCATTTCCTGGCAAACCCTTGAATGCTTTTAATATAGTAAGAAATACATTGGAGCAGTAAGCAGGTGTACAGCTATGCTGCATTTTTCTCTTATACAATATACTTGAAAGGTATTTTGAGGAAAAAGATATGTAGGTACATTTATCAAGTAAGTTAAAAAAAAAATGGGAAGCCAAACATTTTTTGCCTATGACTTGGTACAGCACCACCTTGTGTTTTTTCAGTCAATAAACACAGAAAGCTCACAAGTAGAGCATAAAAGTAGCAGCGACAAATTTCTATAGCTTGCCCTTAGAATGAGGTAATCATAGGTTCATGGATTTCATGGTCAGAGCTAGTTTAATCATTAAAATAAGAAGGTTCTTCATAATTTTTAGGCCACCAGTTTCTCAGTTCAGCCAGAAATCTTATATCTTGATCTACTTGCTCTTACCATAACCTGGTTCATGGAGTTATTGTGAGGATAGGTGGTTGAAATCCATGTGTGTTGATCCAAGCCTGAATGTAATTAATAAAACCATTTTTAAAAAGAAAGCAAGGTAAATAAGGCATTTTAAAGTGTACTGTGTGAAAATGCCCTGTAGTAGCATGGCTTTCAAGGCCTAATGCAAACAGCAGAGTGAGTGTCATGTGGTATGAAGAGCACACACTCAAGGATGGCTCTGAAACCAAATACTTTAGGCTTTAATAATTGGCTTATGACTCCATACAAAATGTTTGTGAACCAAACTGGTTTGTGGTTCAAGGCCTCGCAAATCCTGTTGTAAGGGTTATTTAAAGTGACTGCACAAGAAAGCCCAAAACAGCCAAGTGGTGGCCCCGGTCACCCGGCCAGATAATGTGGGGGGAGGCGTGGCTTTTTACGCAACTTAACGCATCAGAACGCAATTAGATGCCGCAGCGGTAAAGTGGCGTTTTGTTTGTCGGCACGTGTTTTCGGCGCGCATCAACATGGCGAGAGGCCGGCGCAATTTAACGCGCCAGAACATGATTAGATGCCGCAGTGGTAAAGTGGGGTTTTGTTTGTCGGCGCGTGTTTTCGGCACACATCAACATGGCGAGAGGAGCATGCTTCAGCAATCACACGTAGGTATTCCATCAACGGCCCATAGCAAACCATTTGCTAGAAGGCTTTCCCGGGTATTTTTTTAACTCTGGATCTTTGGGTGGATGCTACGGGTCAGCGATGGGTGTGCTATGCTTGCCACATGTGTCCTTGTGATCGCGCCCGTATACTCCGCCCAACATTCGTGCCTCTCCCGCCACAAATTCCATGTGTGAACAGGGCCAGTGAGGAGCAGGCAGGGAATTTTGCTTCATGGTTCAGTTCATGTCCATCCCTAGCCACAGGAAGTCATTCTGTGCTGACTCTCAGACAGTATCATAATATATTACAGTGAGGCAACAAGGATGTTACAATGGACTGTTTCACTCCTAATGGGGAGGGGGTTTTCTCAATTTTTGAACATTTTATTTGAATTTCTTCCTATAAAACATCAGGAAAAGGACTGGTGAAACTTTACCTAATTTATATGGGAAGAGTTTCAGATTTTTATTTCTTAACATGAGGTAATGTGTATTTGTTTAATTTTTAAATATCCCACTTTGTCTTTAAACTCAAGGCAGCTAACAAAGCATTCAGACATGCCTTGTCCAGGGTGGACATGGTCTGAGTTGAATGACACAGCCCAACCGTGTTAGCAGTCTTTATTTGCTGATTGCATCTGAATAAAGCCTAAGAGCTAGTTTTACAAATTTACCTTTAATTGATTCATGAATGGGCTAAAATATACTTGTTATTCAACTTTAAAAGGTTTTGATAGATTGACAAAAATCCTGTCCAAATCATGTTAGTGTTTTGAGTAAAGCTCTTGCATAGTTCCCATTCATTTATATGGGACCAGAGCATGAGTCTCCTATTGGGATATGATTCTTGAAAAATCTATGAACAATGCATGATTATTTCTGAGATTCATCAACATAACAGGTTATATTCCTTGGATATGGAATGCTTGTCTTTTTTGTTGCATTGGAAATGTTATGTCTCCAGTCAGACATCTGGGAACTATTGTTCCAATTACATAATTCCCATTACAAATTAGCATGTTGGGTCTATTACAAATTTAGGAAAATTATTCCTGTTTCGGTGTATCAGACTCTGTACCTTTTTCTTCTGACTTTGTAGGCAAAAACGTATTAATGAAAAAACCAACAGTTAGCTGGCATGAAGTCTGTTGATCTCATCAAAAGTAAATTTGTTGTGTTCCAGATGCAGGAGAGAAGCTGTGAGCAAGATGCACCCCTATCTTTAATGATGAAGGATGCTTATTCTGCAGAGGAGAGCAATCATGCAAACCACCATGAAAACACATATGAAGATTCATCTTCTTTTGACCTCTTTTATGATTCCCTCTCAGACATACAGGGTACAGAATTTCCACATGAGTTGTCTGCTTTTCTTAGTGAAGAGGAGATAAACAAAAGCCTTGAACTTGCCCAGGAATCTATTATGAATCCTGTAGAGGATGGGAAGGCAAAGCAGGAGGTCACATATTACTTCAACACCTCTTCTCCAAACTCACCAGAGGAGACCAAAGTGTGTGATCCAGATGCTTCCAAGAGGACTCAGGTAACAAGCCCAAATTGCCTACTGATTGCATCTCAAAGTCTCCCAGAGCAGAAAAAGAAGAATGTACATTCTGAAGAAGCAAGCAATATTTTCAGTGTTACTGGGGGGAAATCTAGCATATCACCCCTGCTACCTGCTAGGCCAAGCTTTATTCGGAGTCTCAAACATGCCGAAAAATGTGGTCCAAGTGTGCAAAAGATGAGCCCTAAGTCCAAATCATCATCCAACAGTGAAGCTCCTTCCAAGAACAAGCTGTGTGATAAAGCTGCCACTTTGATAGAAGAACTCTCTTCCATATTTAGAGAAGCAGCCAAGACAAGAGTTAGGAGCCCAGATGGAAACTCTTCTTCCCCAGACAGTGGGTACCTGTCCCCTAAAAACAAACAGTCAGTCATGTCAAATTCCTTAATGAACTCAATCCCAGACAAAACATGTCAAGAGGGCATTGCTGAAAATGAGTTACCCAAAGTCACTCACAATAGAGAATCTGTGTTCCACAGGAAGGACAGCTCTCAGGCCAATGAAAATGACTCCCTGAACCAGCTTTCAAAGGAAAGTCACAATCAATTGTCAGCCCCTCAATTTACCCTAAAACTCAGGAGTCTGGAAGTTGCTGAAGGAAGCAAGGTGCTGCTAGAATGCAGAGTTACTGGAAACCCAACACCTCATGTCAGGTAAGATTGGAGAATAGTCTTCTGGTCATATTATGATGGACCAGATGAAGATGATGCCTAATTTCATATATCTGCATCACATGTAGGAACAGCCATAATGGTCAGTCATTATTTGTGGAGCCCCAGTCTTCCTCTACCCCTCGTTGCTTGTGTATTTCTTAATATTGGTGCACAGTGAATTAATGATCCCAACCCGTCCCCCAAGTTTGAAAGAGTAACTGATACCACTTCAGACCTTCCCCACTGTCAGTGATATTGTTTGGAAATGCTCCCTCTAAGCTATGGAGTCTTGTGAGCAAGAATTCTACTTTGTGAGCTACTGGCATTAAAGATGTGAGTAAGTGATTTGGCTACTGCATAAATTAGTTTGCTCTGGAGCCTTCCTTCCTGAGCTAAGACAAAAATGTGTGAGCCCAGAGGCTTAAAAACTGTGAGCTAGCTCACACTAACTCAGCTTAGAGGGAACACTGTTGTGAGATCTATCTCCACACCACTGATGGAATATGTTCCTCTCCTCCTCCTCTCCTATGTCAAGTTTTGCTGATGGAGCTGTTAACAGTAGGGCATTTCATCTGGGTGACTTTGGATATATTCTGTTGTTGTATTTTGCAAATTTTTAATTTAATTCTTCAGTACCATTCCTTGTTAGACTTGTTCAAATTAACAAACAACATTGAGCCTCAGAATGTCCATATGGTAATTGCAACTACTGGTGGGGAAATAAGTTTTCTAAACAATACTAGTCACTACAGGGTAAATTAGTCCTAACAACCATGTCTTGGCCTATTTTTGACTTAAAATAGAGTACACAAATGCCAGGAATGTGAGGGGGTGGATTTCACATTTCAGTATTTCATAGTTTAGATGTGCATTGAGAAGGGTACCAGCCTTTGGGAAACATGTATTGCTCAACACCTTAGCATTCTGCTTTATATAACTCTGTGAGAACACTGTCTCATTAATATTAGTGAAATAGGGGCAATAGTTGTAGTAATAATAGGCTGAAATATCAATGGGTCAGCACAAGTGATGCACTGGAAGATCTGCTTTGTGAGGATAATCGTTTGGGTTGACATTGAAGCACAGAAGGAAAATGGATGTACAGGTCCCCTGGAGCTGCTGTTTGTCCCATTCTAGGTTACATACAAGTTGTACATGTGGCTTCCCAATTAGGCAACATATAGAGGGTAATTTGAATGTGAGGGAGCTGACTTGACCTCACTCCACCATGCTGTGGTTCTGACCTTAATCAGAACTCCTAGCAGCTGCTAATCATAAATCAAAACTGCACTGGTGATCAGATCCTGACATGGATCTTCCAGCACATTGTCTGGTTCGACCTACAAGCTTTAGACAGAGTTGTGTGCCTTTGTATTGCTAAGTCCATCAACCAAGCCAGCACAGCTGATGGCTGCTACAGTAATTGCCATCAATAAGGTTGTTGTCTCTAGCAATCTATGTTCCCTCATCCTTTTGTTCCCTTTAGCTCCATAGTTTTGTCTGTCTAGTCGGATCTTGCACAGCGGTATTTCCTGTGTTGTAGCAAAATAAAACAATCTTTCCCACTTGTTTCCTTAATTTCTCTCCGAATCTCTCCGAATTTTCCACATTTCTCCTTCATTTTGCTGTCTTCTTTTCATGATCTGCCTTCCTTCAATCAAATTTGTCTGCCCCTCCCCTTTTATTTGCAGTCTTAGTCTTGGTATTTGTAAACCATAATATGCTGTTACAACTGAAGCAAGCTTCAGATGATTTCAAGATATGCTTTTAATAATGACATTTCCTAAATTGTGAAGGGAATGATGAGCACATATACTTCTGTGTTTCATTGCAGAACCACAAGTCTTACTCCAATGGAGAAAAGGGTTTTTTCCCCATTGGAGAAAGACTTTGTCCATCAGACAAAATATTTTTTTCCCCCTGGAAAATTGGTGGAAGACTTGGTGGAAGGGAATTGTAGGAATCAACCCAATTTTTTTAAGTTCCTATTTTTTAGGAACCACAGTAGCTTATCTGGTTTAGAAATTAATGCCTATCTTTAGTCCACTTAATAATTTCCAATAGTCTTTTATGGTGCTAGAAGATTTTACTTGGTCCAAGACAAGAAAAGAATTAGTCTTCCAAATAATTACAAGAAATCAGGGGTCATTTCCTGCGGGGAGTGCACAGGAGCAGAGCTCCGGCATCTCAGCTTAGAGGGAACACTGTTGTGAGATCTATCTCCACACCACTGATGGAATATGTTCCTCTCCTCCTCCTCTCCTATGTCAAGTTTTGCTGATGGAGCTGTTAACAGTAGGGCATTTCATCTGGGTGACTTTGGATATATTCTGTTGTTGTATTTTGCAAATTTTTAATTTAATTCTTCAGTACCATTCCTTGTTAGACTTGTTCAAATTAACAAACAACATTGAGCCTCAGAATGTCCATATGGTAATTGCAACTACTGGTGGGGAAATCAGTTTTCTAAACAATACTAGTCACTACAGGGTAAATTAGTCCTAACAACCATGTCTTGGCCTATTTTTGACTTAAAATAGAGTACACAAATGCCAGGAATGTGAGGGGGTGGATTTCACATTTCAGTATTTCATAGTTTAGATGTGCATTGAGAAGGGTACCAGCCTTTGGGAAACATGTATTGCTCAACACCTTAGCATTCTGCTTTATATAACTCTGTGAGAACACTGTCTCATTAATATTAGTGAAATAGGGGTAATAATTGTAGTAATAATAGGCTGAAATATCAATGGGTCAGCACAAGTGATGCACTGGAAGATCTGCTTTGTGAGGATAATCGTTTGGGTTGACATTGAAGCACAGAAGGAAAATGGATGTACAGGTCCCCTGGAGCTGCTGTTTGTCCCATTCTAGGTTACATACAAGTTGTACATGTGGCTTCCCAATTAGGCAACATATAGAGGGTAATTTGAATGTGAGGGAGCTGACTTGACCTCACTCCACCATGCTGTGGTTCTGACCTTAATCAGAACTCCTAGCAGCTGCTAATCATAAATCAAAACTGCACTGGTGATCAGATCCTGACATGGATCTTCCAGCACATTGTCTGGTTCGACCTACAAGCTTTAGACAGAGTTGTGTGCCTTTGTATTGCTAAGTCCATCAACCAAGCCAGCACAGCTGATGGCTGCTACAGTAATTGCCATCAATAAGGTTGTTGTCTCTAGCAATCTATGTTCCCTCATCCTTTTGTTCCCTTTAGCTCCATAGTTTTGTCTGTCTAGTCGGATCTTGCACAGTGGTATTTCCTGTGTTGTAGCTAAATAAAACAATCTTTCCCACTTGTTTCCTTAATTTCTCTCCGAATCTCTCCGAATTTTCCACATTTCTCCTTCATTTTGCTGTCTTCTTTTCATGATCTGCCTTCCTTCAATCAAATTTGTCTGCCCCTCCCCTTTTATTTGCAGTCTTAGTCTTGGTATTTGTAAACCATAATATGCTGTTACAACTGAAGCAAGCTTCAGATGATTTCAAGATATGCTTTTAATAATGACATTTCCTAAATTGTGAAGGGAATGATGAGCACATATACTTCTGTGTTTCATTGCAGAACCACCAAGTCTTACTCGAATGGAGAAAAGGGTTTTTTTCCCATTGGAGAAAGACTTTGTCTGAGCGGTGGGTGTTGCCTTCTGACACACTTCCGGTGATGTCGGAGTGTGTGGCATATGCAAATAAGTTATGCTAATGAGCTCTTGCACCTCTTTTTCTACAAAATGACCCCTGCAAGAAATCATTTCTTTCTTTTAGAAGTCCCCAAATGTCTATGTAAAATATGACAGTAATTTAACTGTTTACTGTGTCTATCTAAGGATCTTACAATTAAGAATACTGTTTCTGTGCTGCAACTTTAAATTGTTTTCTATGATACAGTCAATTGCTGCTGCTTCTGTACTGAATTGCCTAATTGCTGACTGCAGATGCTTAAATCCAATACAGCGTATGACTTATCAGATATGTGGGAAATGTATACTGAACTGAACCTTAACATATCAGTTTCATTCCTTAAAAGAGTGTGAGGTCAACAGAGTTGTCATGTGTTCACATTTTGGCATGCTTATATTCTTACAGTTATGGTAATTACTTTCACATGCCACCAGTGCTTTTCCATGCTGTCTCCTGTTAATTCAAGTGAAACTCATAAAAACCAGGTTTTAACGTTATGCCATACTGTCCCAAAACTGTGTCATGTTCTAGCATCAAACACTTGTATAGCCCATTTCACACATTACTCAGAACCAAACTTGGCTGTTTACTTGGGCCTGGTTGAGATATTTTTGAACGCTTCACAGCATTTAATGTGGATGCCTGATATAACACATTACCCCCTCAGTCGGAATAAAGAGATGGACACCAATATGGATTTAACAAGGGCCACTTTATTAATTATTTATAATCAAACAACTGGCGAGAGGCTGCTAAAATGTACTGAGGAATATGACAGGTGTCAAACTCCTGACTACCTTCATCTCCTTCTGGGCGATGCACCTTCCCTGATCTCGAGCCACCCAATGTATCCTTCGATTAGCAGCTTGGCATAATTAGGAGAACCCCCGGCCCACAAGGCCTGCTGAGATAGGCCAAGCCAGATTGTTCTAAGGAAGATCACCCCTCCCCGACCTTGAGCCGCAAAGGCCCGAAAGCCGTTTTTGGAGGACCCCTTAATTCCTTTAATGAAATGCCCAGGTGCTCACCGTTTTCACTTTCCTGATCACACCCCACCTAACCACCACAAAGGGACCATTCTATTTAACAAATGCTGGCCCCCCAAAGCCAATTTCCCAACACCACCATCATCAGTGCAAGGTAGGCAAAGGGAGCCAAGCCTAAATAGGCTGGCACCACCCCCTGCCTGGCGCTGCGCTTCATGCAGCACCAGTGCCTTTTCTTTATGCCTCACGAGGAGGCAAATCAGCCTTCTTCCGCCAGTGCAGGCTTGGCGGGAGTTTGGGCTCACATTTTACACATATATGTGCATGCACA